GGGATGGGTTTTTAGGGGATGTGGTTTTTAGGGGATGGGTTTTTTTGGGATGTGGTTTTTAGGGGATGCGGTGCACGGGGCAGGGATGATGTGAGGGAACTGGGGGAGCCGAGGTGTGGGGCTGGTCTGAAGGAAGCCGAGAGGAGCTGGGGGGCTGTTGCTGTACCCCGGGATCCTCCTTTACCATCTGCACGTCCCGGGACCCCCAGTTTGGTTCCCTTTGCCGCTGAGTGTGTCCCCCCACACCGGCTCCACTGCCCCATCCCTGTTTGCTGGCTTGTCCCTCGGGAACCCCAGTTCCTCCCTTGGGACCCCTCCCTTTCCTCTCGGCCTCAGCTCAGCCCCTCCTTCAGCTTTTGGGGCTCCCCGGAGTCCTCAGCCCCGCGGTGAAACCAAATCCTCCCCACATTTCTGGCCGCATTTCCCCTCCAGTATCTCCAGAGGTTCCCGTTCCCCCAGCGCCCTCCGGAGCCCTCTGTCCCCTCCCAGCCCTCGGGATTTTCAGGGCGTCCCCCCTTGGTCCCCTCTGCTGCCACCAGGAGCCTCGGGACCCTCACAGGGCTCGGATAAAACAGGGGGATGCTGCTTCCACTTCCAGCCGAGCTGAAAAACATTTCCACATTCCCTCCTCATCTGGGGCTCGGAGCAGCCTGGCCCAGCAGAAGGGGTCTCTTCCATGGCTGGGGGGTTTCACGGTCCCTCCCAAGCCAAACGCGTCTGGAATTGCGTTATTTGGAGGATATATTCCATTATATCCATCCGTTCGGGATGGATGTGACAGAACGAGCTCCCCGGGCGCTGACCTGAGCGCTGTGGATGATCCAGATCGAGGGGGGAGGACAAAGCTGCTCCCGGGTGCTTCAGAGCCGGAGCGAGCCGGACCGAACCGGACCGAACCGGACCCAGCCGGAGGGAACCGGACCGAGCCAGACCGAGCCGGACCGAACCGGACCCAGCCGGAGGGAACCGGACCGAGCCAGACCGAGCCGGACCGAACCGGACCCAGCCGGAGCGAACCGGACCAAGCCGGAGCGAACCGGACCGAGCCAGACCGAACCGGACCGAGCCGGACCGAACCGGACCGAACCGGAGCGAACCGGACCGAACCGGACAGAGCCGGACAGAGCCGGACAGAGCCCCCGCTGCCCCCAGAACCGGGCTGGGCCGAGATCCAGCTCTGCTCCGGGCTCTGGGAGAGGATTCAGCTCTGGGAAGGGATGGGGATGGATCATCCCCCCTCGGGAAATCACCGGCATGGCCCCCGAAATTCGGGACCTTGGGACCCTTCCCCGAGCCTGCAGAGCCCCGGAGCCGCCGATGGCTCCCGGGGGAGCGGGGACAGGAACAGGAGCGGGGACGGGTGAGGGGAAAGGGACAGGGACAGGGACAGGGACAGGGACAGGGACAGGGACAGGGACAGGGACAGGGACAGGAGCAGGGACAGGGACAGGGACAGGGACAGGGACAGGGACAGGGGCAGGGACAGGGACAGGGACAGGGACAGGGACAGGGACAGGGACAGGAGCAGGGACAGGAGCCGGAGCCGCCGCTCCCGGGAGGAGCCTGGGAGGGGAATGGGCAGGAAAACATCCTGGGAATACCCGCGGCACCGGGAATCCATCGCAGGGCTGCGAAGCCAGCCTCGCACGGCAGCGCGGAATTGCGAGGAATATTTGGAATATTTGGAATCCGGGAGAGCTGGGGCTGTTCTCCCTCGGCTGATGCTGCTGTGCCGACCCCCGGAGCTGCCGGGCATCACCTGGATGCTGCTCGCAGGTGAGGAGGGCAGGGCTGGGGGGTAAAAGGCTTAACCTGGAAGGTAAAGCTGTGTTTGTCCAAGGAGAGAGGAGCTGGAAGAGCAGCTCCGGGGATAAAAGCGTGCTGCAGCCGCATTTGTAGCGGGGCCGGTAGATGTACTCACACAGAAATGTTATATTTGTTAATATCTGTGTTTGTGGTAACAATATTTGTGTTAAAAATTGATGTGTACAAATATTTGATGCTTTTAAAAGCACAGGTTTTATTGCAGTTAAAGTCGTGTGAGCGTTTTCACTCCTTAAATAATCCCTGGCTGCCCTGAGACACAAACCCTGGGAAAACAGGAGGGTTTGGGTCCAAAAGGACATTAAAGCTCATCCCATTCCACCCCCAGGGTGCTCCAAGCCCCGTCCAACCCGGCCTTGAGCACTTCCAGGGCTGGGGCAGCCACGGCTGATCCAAATGCACGAAGATTTTCAGGATGAGCATCTGAAACAGAATTACCCATTACCCTCCAGCTTGGTTTTGGGATGGTGTCAGTGAGCTCTGGGTCTGTGGGATGAGTTTTGGCCACTGCAGCTGCAGAATGTGGAGAGTTTTCCCCTTTCCTTCAGCTCATTGTTCTGTTCTGTGTAAATAGTGTTTTCCCAGCAGAAAAAGGAAATTTTTCAGAGATTTTTTTTCATAGAAAATGAAAAATTTTTTTCATAAAAATTCTTTTAGTCCTTAAATTATATTTAAATTAAATTACAAAGTCTTTTAGTCATTAAATTGTATTCTCTTCCTCCACATCTACAGTTTGGGGGCCAGCAAGGCATGAAAATAGCTGCCTTTCAAGGTTATGAGAGTGAGAAATGAAAACCACCTCATGAACTTGACTTGACCTGTGGGAGCAGCAGGAGTTTCCAGGGCCTGGCAGGTGCAGTGGAAATGCAGGTGCACAGGTGTTTATCGGGCCAGGAGCTGAGACACCACAAACACACAGAGCAAACACGGGCTGTGAGCATCCCCGGGCTCCCTGCTCTGCCCCTCTCCTCTTGCCTGGAATCCTCCCTGCTGGGACCTTCCCACAGCAGCTCTTCCCTAAGTCCCTGAGCCCAAGGCCAGAAATTTCGGGAGGATGGCTGCATCCTGCATGCCAGGAGCATGTGAGCACCTTCAGCCCCAGACAAGATCAGGAATTTGGTGTCTGTCCCACCCCTGGAAGGGTCCAAAGGCAGGCTGAGCAGGGGTCGGAGCAGCCTGCTCTAGTGGAAGGCAGAGCTGGAACGAGATGGGCTTTGAGCTCCCTTCCCTCCCAAACCTTTCCAGGGTTCCATGGACTGGGAGTTATTTTGTACTACTTGTTGTACTCTATGAATTGGGAGTTATTTTGTACTACTTGTTGTGGTTGTTGTTGTGGGATCTGGGTCTCCTCAGGGCTGAGCCCCTCTGGGACACCCCCTCACAGGGGAGTTTCCCTTAGTTCTGTTTCAGGAAAGATACTCCGAAAGGCTCCTTAGCTTCTTGTTTCTCTTCTTTATTAATATAGAATCTCTTGTTTATTCATATAGAATCCTTTGTTTATTAATATAGAATATCTTGTTTATTTATATAGAATATCTTGTTTATTCATATAGAATATCTTGTTTATTCATATAGAATCTATTGTTCATTCATTTAGAATCCTTTGTTTATTAATATAGAATCTCTTGTTTATTCATATAGAATATCTTGTTTATTAATATAGAATATCTTGTTTATTCATATAGAATCTCTTGTTTATTCATATAGAATCTCTTGTTTATTCATATAGAATATCTTGTTTATTAATATAGAATATCTTGTTTATTCATATAGAATCTCTTGTTTATTTATATAGAATATCTTGTTTATTCATATAGAATCTCTTGTTTATTCATATAGAATCCCTTGTTTATTAATATAGAATCTCTTGTTTATTAATATGGAATCAAAAGACTTGCCAGGTCTTCCCCAGATTTTCTGCACAAGTTTATCCACCACAGCTTTGGCTCAAGTTGGCTTGAACAGCACAAAATGACCCCAAACTACGCAGCATTTTTACCTTTATACTCATTCTTACCCAATTAACAATAGACACGTCAATTATTTGTATTAATGACCCATCACCTGTGTGCTGCACTGGGGCATTTTCTATCCAATCACCCAAAAACCTCTGAAGAACATGAAGAAGAAAGAAGAAGGAAAAGAGACAACACCCTAAATCCTCCATCTTGCCTTCTGCTCTCTAAACTAGTTTGTACTCTAAACTTTAACTTTTTCACCCAGTGACTTTAGAAAACTCTCTAATTTACACACACTTTTAGCTTTTCTATTTAACTTTAACAGTTGTTTTCAGGGTGTTGTATGAAATTCAGCGTTTTCTTGGATGTCAGGGCCAGGTATCAGAGACAAGGGTGCACTCTGTGCCTCAGACTCCAACAGTGAGGGTGGAAATTGGGTGGGGATGACAAAAGCTGAGGCAGGAGAAGCTCATTGCCCTCCTCTGCCACGGGACACTTCCCCAGCAGCGATTTGTCCCATCCCCACCCCTGTCCTCGCTCCAGGGCTGCTGCTGCCGTTCCCTCTGGCTCTGGGAACAGCAGGACCCATCCACAGAGCGGCTGCCGTGGGATCCTCGGTGCTGCTCCCCGGCCTGGATAACAACACCCACAGCAATTCCACACTCTGGGAATTCCTGAACGGCACCGGCCCCCGCAGCATCCTGCAGCACCCCGGAGGAGCCCCCGGCCCCGCCATCCGCCCTCCCTACGCAGGACGAGCCCTTTTCCACACATCCAATGGATCTCTGCTGCTGGAGAACGTCCAGGAGAGCGACAGTGGCACCTACAGAGTGACCGTCGGTGCGGGAGGAGGGAAGAGCCTGGAAATCCAGCTGGAAGTGCTCCGTGAGTGGGGACCGTGGGAGGGGGGAGGGATCCAGGCAGGATCCGGATCCAAGAGCCGGAGCGAGGGGCTGGAGAAGGGATCTGAGCAGAGGCTGATGGGCCAGTCCCGAGCTGCTCTGCACCTGCCACGTGTGGAGACCTTGGAGAGAGGTTCCCAACCTGTCCTGGGCCAGCAGATGTGGAAATGCTGCCCAGTGAGAGCTCCCAGGGGCCCGGCTGGGACACAGGGACGAGTTCCATCCTGGAAAGGCAATTCCCTCCCTGTTTCCCACACCTCCATGCAGGGATGGAGGGACTGCTGGGAGGACAAAGGGATGAGGGAGTGACCGGCAGGATGATGGGGGGACTGGAACAGGAGGGAAGAAGCAGGGGGGTGACGGGGGGACTGGAACAGGAGGGAAGAAGCAGGGGGGTGATGGAAGGACTGGAACAGGAGGGAAGAAGCAGGGGGGTGACGGGGGGACTGCTGGGTTGCCGTGGGTCCCTCTCCCAGCGCTTTGCCAGGGGACACCGGGCAGGGCTGAGGTTTCTGGAGGAGCCACCGCCCCCCCAGGCCGAGCCGTTTGCCCTCCGCAGGCGCCACCGCAGAGATGAGAGGCTCTTGAAACGGCCCAGAGGTCCCTCCCCAGCAATTCCCTTAATTCACCCTGCCTTACCCACCCTCAGCAATCACTCCATGGCCACAATGCCACCGCAGCCCTTCAGCAGCCTCTCCTCCCAGCCACACACCCGAGCGGCAGCTGCTGCCCTCTCTGCTCTTGTCTCATTTCCTGACGCGTTCCCAAGCGCTCCCTATTTACCCACATCCATTAAAAGCAGGGATTCAGCTGGATAAAGATCCAGCCCTGGAAAGCACAGCAGCGGGATGGGCGTGCCAAGGGAAAGGCGGCTGTGGCTGATGCTGTGGTGGCAATTGCAGCCCAAGGGCACGTCAGGGATGCTCCAGGGATGCTGGCACAGGCGCCCAGAGCAGCCCTGGATCCCTGGAAGTGCCCAAGGCCAGGTTGGGCGGGGTTTTGGAGCAGCCTGGGACAGTGGGAGGTGTCCCTGCCGTAGCAGGGGTGGGATGGGATGAGCTTTAAGGTCCCTTCCCACCCGACCCGGTCTGTGATTCTGAGTTCTCTGTTCCCTTCCCAGAGCCCGTGTCCCTCCCGCGGCTCCGGAGCAGCTCTCTCGTGGCCCGGGCCCCTGGGCAGCTCGTCTGTGAGGTGGCAGAGGGCAGAGTGGACAGCATCACCTGGAAGAAGGATGGGCAGCCCCTTTCCCCAGGCGGAGCTGCCCGGCTGTCCGGCAGCCGCAGCGTTCTGCACCTGAGCCCTGCCAAGAGATCGGACTGCGGCTCCTATTCCTGCAACGCCAGCAACGGGATCAGCTGGCAAGAAACCTCCCTGAAGGTCACCATTGAAGGTCTGAGCTCCCACTGCTCCTCCAGCCCTCCCTGGGGGTGCCTCAGCGCCTCCATCCCAGCCCTCAGCCGCTGTCACTGTGCCCAGAGGAGCTGCCCATCCATCATGGGAGCATTCAGCAGCCTCTGATCCCTGCTCTGGATGCAGAGGACTCGGCCCTGAGGCACAGTCCTGGGCAGATTGGCCATTCCCTGCCGGGACAGGCCAAGGTGGTGCTGAGCAGGGGCAGGAGGGTGGCCGGGAAGCCTCAGGGAGCTCCCAGCCCAGGCTGGGCATTGCAAGGGGTGAATTTGGCCACCAGCTGGCAAATAAATGGGATCTGTCCCGGTGATGGAGCCACCAGAGCCGGGGGGGCTGGTCCTGCTGATGTCCCTGCCCTCGGGGTCGCTCTGTTCCAGGTCTCTCCCGTCGCCTGAAGCTCACCCTGAGGATTGCCGTGGTCGCCGTGGTCTTCGCTGTCATCTCGGCCTGGGGATTAATTATCCCCGTCTGCCAGTCCGAAAAGCTCAGGATAAGTGAGTTAAGGGGGAACAGGACCCCATTTCCCTGCTCTGGTGGGGGAGAGCAAGGAGCACTGCTCTGGGAAGCCCCAGATGCTGGGATTTCCTCAGGCATCCGGGTGGGGATGGGCTGCACCCCCCGAGGAAGGGGGGACGGCTGGCAGGGGACTCCAGGGGTCACAGCAGTCACCCCCCTCTGCTCTGGTTTTTAGGGGGGGAGCTCTGGAGGTGGCTCAGCTCCTACACCTGTGGGCTGGTGTGCATCGCCTGCGTCCTGGATGGCACCGCCGGCATCCTCTGGATGTGGGAGGAAGGTGGGAGGGGGCTGTGGGGAGGGGGACAGAGCCCAGGGGAGGAGCAGAGCCCAGTGGGGCCCAGGGAGGAAGGCAGTGAGGGGCAGGGGAGCCAGGCCATGGAATGAGGGGGCCAGACCCATCTGGGGCAATCCATGATCCATGTGGGATCTCCATGTGTGATCACCACGTTCATCACACACCCCCCTGCACAATTAATAGAGTTAATTATTTTAACTTTCCCACAGCCCTTTCCCAGGCGCTGTCCCAGCAGGACAGTAAATGATCAGAGGATGGAGAGGCTGCAAGGAAAGGCTGGGAGTCAGAGGAGGGTGGGGAAGGGACGTGATGCAGAGCCATGAAGGGGGTGGGCACTGGAACCTCGGGCTCTCTGCTTTGTCCCGTTGTCTCTCAGGCCCTTCTGTGGCTGTCATACTGCCTGAGATCACCCTGAGCTACCTCACCGTGGTCACCTTCCTGGTTGCCACCACCGTGATTTTCCAGCCCACTGATTTCAGCCATCTGAAGAGCAAAAAAGGTGAGCGGTCCCACCAAGGATGGACCAAACTGCTCCACCGGGGGGTTATTCTGCCCAAAACATCACCCCCAGCTCGTGAAAATGAGAACTCCGGTGCTGAGCTCAGGCTGGGTGAGGCCAGCCCCACAGCCACACCTCTGGACACTCATCCTCACCCCGTTCCCCCGCAGCACAGCGCACCATGGGCTACGCCGCGCCGGGGGCCGTGGTGGCCGTGGTGCTGAGCAGTGCCTTCCTCATCAGGAGCTCCTACCACCGCCACGGTGAGCACAGGTCCTGCAGGGACCTCCCCGAGGCCTCCTGGGACCCCCCACGTCCCTTCCACACCTCCAAAAACAAACCCAACCAACCGGGAGTTTTGGGGAAGTGAAACCTTGGCAGCAGCAAAGTTCAATCTCAACATCCTCCCCCCGTTTTATTTTCTGTCTTTTGTGTGTTTGTGCTTTCACGGTGGCAACCTGCCTCCCTCCTTTCCTGGCCCCTGCTGTTCTCTCCTGTGGCAGAAGAGGGATGCTCGGAGTTCCTGGATGTCACTGTCCTGGTGGCCAGCACGGCGGCCGTGTCGGCCCTGCCGCTCCTCGCCATCGGCCTCTGCTGTGAGTCTGCTCCTCCATCCTCTTCCTCAGCCCCTCCCAACGCCCCGGGGTCCCCACACCATCCAGCAGGCACAGGAATCCTTTAAAAGCGCTTTATTTGGCTCTTGTGAAGCCAGTGGTTGCCACTGAGTGTTTCCCTTCCCTGGGAAGCCGCAGGGTCTGTATCCCAAACACAACTCCCCGCGCTTGGTGCCTCTCACACCTCCTGATCTGGGGACAGATTTGTCTTTTGCAGATCACAAAACCCAGGGCAGGTGCAAGGACAGCGATGTCTGTTGGATGGACAAAGCTGGGTAGGTCCCTTGTTGCTATTTTCCTCATAAATTCCAATTTTCCACATAAATTCCTATTTTCCACATAAATTCCTATTTCCACATGAATTTGTACAGCTTGAAGAGAAGGAAGCAGGATATGGAAACTATCCTGTGTTCTAGTTTAAGACCCAGCCCAGCACAGGCCTCCAGCCCTGGGCTCTTGCTGGGTTCAGGGGGAGGCTCTGGTGGGGTCCCCACCCAGCAAAGCACGTGAGAGCCCACCCAAAACTCCCCCTTATGGCCTCATCCTGAAGCTTTTAAACCTTAATTCCTCCTGGATTCATGGATTAACAGAATGGTTTGGGTAGAAAGGCAATTTTAAGATTATCCCATCCCACCCCAGCCATGGCAGGGACACCTCCCCTGTCCCAGCTGCTCCAGCCCCAATGTCCAGCCTGGCCTTGGGCATTCCAGGGATCCAGGGGCAGCCCCAGCTGCTCTGGGCACCTGTGCCAGGGCCTGCCCACCCTGCCAGGGAAGTTTTGATGCTCAGAATTTCCCCCTCCTCTTCCTTCCAGGTCCTTTGAGATGTGTCAGCCGGGCACCAAGGACACCGCTCCCAGCTGAGCTCCATCTCGGGGTGTCTCTCACTTCCCCCAGGTTTAGTGCGCTCAGGGCTCTCAGTTTTGGTTCCTCTATGATCCTCATAATAAATGTCCATGAAATTAACCTGATTTTGCCTTTTATTTTTTTATAAAACAGAGCCAGGGGAGGCCAAGTGCACATTTCCCCCTTTCTTCCTCCAGAAAACCAAAGCCTGAAGTAGAGAAGCCCCTTTAGCAGCAGCTGCAGGAGTCTCTCACTGCTTTATCTTTATTTAATATTTGTTTACAACAATTTAGAGCTGTATGTGTAAGATTTACCTGGGAGTAGCATGAAATACTTTTCTGTGAGTAACCCTGTAGTAACCTGAAATAGATTCTGGCTTTTCCAGTAGTAGAGGCGGAGGAAGGCCAGGAAGGCACAAAACCCGGGGTGGGAGGAGGTGGATGCTGTCAGCAGCTCTTCCCCAGCTCCAGCCCAGGGTGTCTGACACACTCTGGGATTGATTTACTCCGGGCAGGATTCAGCTCATGCTCAGCCTGTGCCAGGGGCTGTTTTTCCCAGCTCTCACAATGCACTGAGGTGTTTCCTGCAGGCTTTTCCAGCCTCAAACAGCTGCTGAGCACAGCCCTGCACCCCCAGGTGAACCCCAAACCTCCCCAAAAGCCCCCCAGGGGCAGCCCTGACCCAGCTCCTTGGGCAGCAGCTCCTCCCTGCCCGGCCCCGTGACTCAGGGAACGGGGCCAGGTTAAAAATACCCTCCCCAGATTTGGAGCAGGGCTCTGGGCTGTTCCCAAGCCCAGCTGGGCCCCTGGGGCTGTCACTGCCACAGCAGCAGGGGAGGAGGGATGGGGATGCAGGAACCCCACAAGGGGAGCAAGGGCTGTCCTCAAGAGCAGGGGATCCTCTCCTGCTCCTGGGGTGACCTCTGGGTGCTCCTGGGTGACCTCAGGGTGTTCTTGGGTGACCTCTGGGTGCTCCTGTCCCCAGTTTGTTCTGCTCATGCTGCAGCTGAGGTTCTGCACCTCTAAGTGAGGTTCTGAGAGCGAAGGGGGAGAAAAGAAGCTCAGTTTGTTTGCAGAAAGGGCACTGACTCCTCCATTCTCCTGCTGGGCTCTGTTCTCTGCAGCACGGACAGACAGCAGGACAGTTCCCCTTTGCTTTATTTTAGTCAGTTTTTTAGCCAGCTGAGGCAGAGAAGTTCCCTGCACTGTGGGTTTTGGTTTATTTTTCCTTTTTCTCGGATCTGTTCGAACCTGCTCTGGACTGAAACCCCAGGAAAACACCAGGAGCTCACACCTGTGGCCCCCCAGGGCCTGGGCTGCATTTTTCCAGCACAGGAGGTGCTGATAAGGGACTGAGCAGGCTGAGGTCACCCCATGACAAGGACTTTCTGAATTTGCCACCCCTTCAGAACTGCGAGAGGTTTTATTAATATTAGTCATTTTTCACGCTTGTGAATACTCTGCTTGTTAAATAAACAAAATAAAGTAAATAAAGCTTTTACACTTTTCTCCAAGGAAATCTTTTCCCAAACCAGTTGGAGGAGGGGCTGCTTGGATTTGCTTTCTGGAAGGAATCCATTCAGAGATTTCTTTTTTGCCCTAACGCAGGGCCCTCCCGGAGCCAGGGATGAATCCAGCATTCCCAGATCTGCCACCAGCCACACCCCACCAGGGGCTGCTTCCAACCCCACTGCCCACCCCCAAACACGACAGCAAAACCTTCTGGGATAACACACACTCTTTGTTAGCAGCAACAGACTCCAACAAACCACAGAGTCTCCAAAAGCATTCACAGACAACTCCCCAAAACACTTAGGAAAGTATTTCTTGTAAAACATCTGGCTACGTTTTACACCCTCGAGTGCAACAGAGAACGTGACAACCTGCCCTGCAGCTTCCAACGGGGCTGCAATCTCATTTATCCCACCCAAACTTCCTTTAATGGCTCCACGAAACCCCAGGCTGAGATGGCCCCTCAGTCTCCCACAGTTTTCCAGTTTGCCTTTGAGAGGTCCCCAGCCTGCTCCAGAGGTGCTGGGGACTGGCTCAGGGAGGGCCCTGGGATCTCCCCCTCAGACTAAGAGGGGCTGCAAATGTGCCAGGGTGAGCGACAGTGGGGTCCAGCACCTGGCACAGACCCCAGTGCTCTCCAGACTCAGCCGAAGGAGCAGCATCCCCTGCACAGCAAAGGCCAGGACAGCCCTGCAGAGGCAGCACGGGGAGGGAGGGGACAGTGGGGACAGCAGGGACAGGAGAGACAGGAGCAGGGCTCCCTGGATGCAGCCAGCCAGGGCTGATGTCACCCGCAGGAGCAGGAAACGGGAAGGACAAGCTGGCACCAGCACGGTGCTGGGAAGAGGAGGGGATGTCCCCAGGGATGTCCCCAGGGATGTCCCCAGGAATGTCCCCAGGGATGTCCCCAGACGCTGCAGAGCCCAGGGGGGAGGAGATGGGCTCGGGGGCATCCCCTCCTCAGCTGGCTGCAGGATTTCCCTGGGATCTGCTTTCAGAAACTGAACTCTTTGCAGAGCTGTGAGCCCATTGAGGCCCCTGGAGGAAGCCAGGAGGATGGAGGGGGGAGCAGGAACATCCCTCTCCCCAGGGATGCACAACAGGAAGAGCAGGACAACACAGAAAGAGTCCAAACCGAAGTTTTCCAAAAAAATATTTGCAGGTTCTGGCAGCTTGAACACTTGACAGGTGAGCCCAGGAGAGGCTGGGATGGGATACCCAGCACTCCCAGAGGATCCATCACCAGGGAGGGGCAGCAGCTGAGCCAGCTCTACCTGCAAGGAGAAGAGAGGGCCCCACATGAGCCGTGTCCTGGGCACTTGGACCCCTCCAGGGCCTCAGCCAGCTCAGAGTGTCCCACACTGGCAGCACCAGGAGGTCTGGACTTCTGCCCTGCTCCAGATTCCAGGATCTACCTGGGCCAGTTTATCTCTGGCTGGAGTTCCCTGGGATCTGACTGCACAAGACACCTGAGAGCTCCTTGTTTGTAACCAGACACCTCACAGGATGGGTTTCCCATCCCAAGGGACTCACATCCTCATCCTCACCCTCCAGGAAGCTCCAGTGAACAGCCTGAGTGTGTTTGTGGTCACAGAGAGGGAGTGATTTCTGAGAAAATCTCGAGAACCACTTGCTTCCCAGAAATCTCCAGAGTATTTAAAAGCCCACCCATTAGTCAGAGCTAAGATAAGCGGGAGTGTCAGGCTCTGGGTGGAGGAATCAGGAATATTTCCAGAGTGGGGATTAAATAGAGGGGACAGCAAACCCTTTGAACCTCCAGGGTGGGGGAGCAGCCTCTTACCAGAGAGGCTGGAATAGCACCCCGAGCTCTCCCACTTCTCCAGCTCACTCAGATCCAGCCAAGGATAAATTTGGGCTTGTAGAGAGAAAATTTTGGCTGGAGCAAGGGGGCCACCCCATGAGGGGACTGGAGACATCTTACCAACAGTTGTCACATGAGTCCTCCTTTCTCTGCCACCAGACAAAGACACCTGGGGACAAAGCAGCAGCATCAGAGAATCCCAGAATCCCAGAAGCATTTGGGATGGAGGGACCTTCAAAGCCCATCCAGTTCCAACCCCTGCCATGGTCAGCAACACCTTCCACTAGCCCAGGCTGCTCAGAGCCCCACCATCATCATCATCAACGGGGGCCAGCATCACCTCCCTGGACTGGAAACAGCAGCTGTGACAAAGCCCAGCCCTTGCCCACAGGATGCCAGGGTGGGAGAGCCAGGTCCTGGCAGGGATGTGCCACATGGGACCCTCTCACCCACCTCTGGTGGCCATGGCACCCACCAGGCAGAAACAGGGCAAAGAGTCACCCCAGCACGCACCTGCGAGCATGCCGATGATGACACAGGCCAGGACCACGGGCAGCACCACGTTGGCAGAGTCTGCAAAGGGGAGAACCCAGAGCCTCTGCACCAGAGCAAACTGAATTTAACCCACCCAAACCTCCCAGCACTGTCTGCTCAGCACAGGCAGGGAGAGAGAATCCCCTTCGTGGGGCTGTGCCCCTGGTTCTCTCCCGGGCACGGGGAGGGAATGCACTCACGGTGGACTTTGAGCAGGAAGGAGGTCTCGTTGTGGCTCACGGCGTTCCTCACCGCGCACGTGTAGTAGCCGCTGTCGCTGATGGACACCTGCAGGATGTAGAGCGTGGTGTTCCTCACCAGCTGGATTCGATCACTTTCCAGGAGCGGCTCCCCGTTCTTCTTCCACCAGAAGGCGTCTGCCTTCCCATCCAGCACGTGGCAAACCAGTTTGGTGTTGCCTCCTGCCTTCACCAAGGAGCTGCCCTCGATTCTCGGCGGGGACAGCGGCTCTGGGAGAGGCAGAGGCAGCGTCAGCGCTCAAACCCGTGCCAAGCCCGGCCCGCAGAGCAGCGCTGGCCGTGGCACCACTCACCCAGGACGTGCAGACGGAACCAGGCCGTGGTCTCCTCCTGGGTCCTGAGGCGGTAGAAGCTGCCGTCGTCCCCCTGCTGCAGCAACACCTGCAGCGACAGCGTGGACTCGTTGAAGGTGGCGCGGTGCTCGTAGAGCGGGGACACGCTGGGGGGCTGAGGGAAGGCATAGCTGAGGATGACCCCCTCCTCCGAGCCCACCCGGTACTCCCAGAGCACGGTGCCGCTGCCGCGCGGCACGGGCGCCGTCAGCAGCACGCTGCAGCCCACGGCCGACACCAGGCTCCCCACGGCCGGGCGCAGGTCGGCCGAGTAGCAGGGAGCGAGCGTGCGGGCTGCAAGAGAAAGCAGGAGTCACCCCACGGCCACGGGGAGCCCGCTTCGCCCACCCGGGAGCGGCTGCAGGAGCCCCTCGTGCCGCAGATTCACGGGGATTGTTTAGAGAATCATCAGTCGTGGAAGGGGTTGGGTGGGAAGGGACCTTGAAGATCACCCAGGGTCATGGGCAAGGACACCTTCCCCTGTCCCAGTTCCATCCAGCCTGGCCTTGGGCACTGCCAGGGATCCAGGGGCTGCTCTGGGCACCTGTGCCAGGGCCTGCCCACCCTGCCAGGGAACAATTCCTGCCCAATACCCCATCTAGCACGGGGGAAGCCATTCCCTGTGTCCTGTCCCTCCATCCCTTGTCCCCAGTCCCTCTCCAGCTCTCCTGGAGCCCCTTCAGGCCCTGCAAGGGGCTCTGAGCTCTCCCTGGAGCTTCTCCTCTCTAAACACCTCCAGCTCTCCCAGGCTGGCCCCAGAGGGGCTCCAGCCCTGGAGCAGCTCCGTGGCTCCTCTGGGCTCTCTCCAGCAGCTCCAGGTGCCTCCTGTGCTGGCCGGGGCTGGAGGTCTCACCTGAGGGGCCGAACCCCCCGGCCGTGCCGGGCCCCAGCCCTCAGGCCCTGCCGGCGGGGCCATGGCAGCGCTCCTGAGGGCACAGAGCTGCGGGAGCCCGGAGCCAAAACAGCCCCGAGCCCCTGCCCGACCGGGCCCCGAAAGCTTTTCCCCGGGATTAAGGCGTGCCCGAGCTCGGAGCCGCCTTCGCGTCCTTAACCGGGCGCCAGGGAAAGCTCCCCAAAGGCGGGAGCGGCTCCATGAGGGACGGGGAGTCCCGCCCGCCTCCCCCGGCCCAGCCGGGCCCAACCGCCCCGAAACGGCCGGGCCAGAGCCTCGGGCAGCCCGGACCGGGACCGGCCCGGCCCGGCCCCACGGGCCCGGGGCTGACACTCGCCTGTGACCGCCGGGGCGGCCGCCGCGCTGCCGGGGCCGAGGAAGAGGGGGAGGAGGAGGAGGAGGAGGAGGGGGAGGAAGGGGACGGGGAACATCGGCGGGGCCGGAGCGGCGGCAGCTCCGCCACGAGGCCCCGGCGGTTCCTTAGGGCGGCAGCGGGCGGGCCCTGTCCTCCCCTCCGCCTCCTCCTCCTCCTCCCTTCCCTCTTTACCCTCCCCTTCTGCCCTTCTCCTCTCCTCCTCTTCTTCCCTTCCCTCCTCTCCCCTCCTTTCCTCTCCTCCTCCTCCCTCTCCCCTTTCCAAGGACATCCAAACCCAACACACAGAACCCCCCAAGGTGCTGCCTCCCCCCGTCCCTCCTGTCCCTCCTCCGTCTGCCACGGTGTAAAACCCCCACATCCCAGCTCGGGGGCAGCGGGGAGCGGCCTCGCCCCGTGCCCTGTCCCCGGGATCCCACCTCAGCCACAAAACCGGGGCTTTGACCATTGCCCGGAGCAGCCCTGCTGGGGGAAGGACGGGACACGGCTGGGACGCTGCTCCTGCAGGAGGAGATTCACCTCGGGATCTTCCAGGAGGGATCGGGACAATGCTTTTCTCCTTCCCCAAGAGGTTGGGCAGCTTGGGAAGCGCTGGGGGCTTTGTGGCAGGAAAAATAAAAACCAAAAAGCAACAAAACAAGCCAGCGTGGCACGGTGAGGATCTCCAGGAGGACTTCCAGAGGAGGAACGGGGACACAGGTGTGCCCAGGCAGGAGCCGTCCCAATCCCACTAGAGGGAGCGAGGAGATCAGACCGGAGAGATGTCACCAGGCAGGGAATGTCACCAGGCAGGGAATGTCACCTGCTCTGTGATAACGGGGACAAACAAACCCCGGGCAGGAGAGAGCCAGGGAAGGGCTGGGCTGCTCCCAGGGCTGGAGGGAAGAGGTTGGATGCCTGACCCTCCCACTGGGAATACGGTGTGATGAGGAAGAGGTTTTTCCCAAAAAAACACCTCAGCCCAGGAACTGATGGGTTCCAGCCGAAAGACAAACATCTGAGGGCACATTCCAGGGAGGTTACAGCAGCTCCTGAGCCTCACGCGATGACTTCAGGCCGCAGGAGCTGCTGTTTCCCGAGGCAGGACCGTGTGGCCGGCACATGTTCGGAGTCATCAGCTGCCCCAGCCAGAGCCGGGCTGGGCTTGGTGAAAGGAGCTGCGAGCCGGCTCTGGAACCTCCCCGGGGAGGAGCATCCTGCTCAGGGAGTCTGCCTTCCATCCCAGGAAACGTGGAAAACATCTAAAATTGCACCATCGCGCCTGAAGCAAACCCAAGCCGATCCGAGGGACGGGCTGGGAAATGCCAGACGCAGCTCCAGGTCCATGGCAGCATCTCCTGCCGGGTTTCCCCCATGCCAGCCTCACCGAGGGCACCAAGAGACCCCAAGAAGCCCCTCTCCTGCTCCCCTGCACTTGCTCTGCAGCACACAGCACTGAGGAAACAGATTTCCATGACCTGGCTCTCCCAGTGCACGGACCAGGAAACATTAGAAGTGAAAAACAACTCCTCAGCCAGGATTGAGGCGTTCTTTTCCCCCCTGGCTCCCACCCAATTTTCTCTGCACAGCTCCAGTTCTGGTCCTGCCCTGACTCACAGACAAACCTTCTCTCTCCCCGGGTTTTTCCTGGTTTCCCTCTGCTCCTCAGCCGTGCCCCTGTCCCATCCCACGGGGCAGCACAGACAGCAGTGGCCCCAGGCTCCTTCAGCACAAACATCTGCGCCCCAAATGACAAACCCTACAATTGTGGAATGGTTTGGTTTGGAAGGGACCTGAAATTCATCCCATTCCACCCCCTGCCATGGACAGGGACACCTTCCACTAGACCAGGCTGGCAACTGTTCCCCAGGTGCCCTTTGCAGCTCTTCTCTCCTCACCTGCCTCGGCAGGTCCTGAGCCCTTTTCCTGAGCACAGCCAGGAGGGTTCAGCTGTCATGGGGTTTTTTTAGACATGACTAGTCACCTCTCTCCCAGCTCAGAGCCCTTCCCAAACTCCAAGGAAGGCACCTCGCCTGGGGAAACAGCTCCATGCCCAGGCAGGGATGGGGCTCTGGCACTGGGCACACACTGAGCTGGCAGAGAGGCAGTGAAATCACTCCTGGCAGATGCTTTGGGGTGGGAGATCCCCTGCTCTGGGCAGAGGAGCTCTGGCTTCTGGGGACACTGTGGGGTCGGACGTCCTGGGAAGGGGAAACTCACGGGGCAGCCACCGCCATGGTGGGTCTGGGGGCTGCTGAGCTGCCTGGGGTGTGGGCTGAGGCCACCCACCCTCCCCAGGGCCCAGCAGAACAGGAGGGAGCGCTGCTGCAGGGACACGAGTGCTCCTGTGGCCTCTCAGGGTCTCACTTTCATCTCACAGGTAACGGCACCAGGAGCCACAGACTCACCTGAGCACGGAGCCTCCCCGGCAGCACCAGGGAGCAGCAGCTCATCCCACCTTCCTGCATTCCAGCCTGCTCCCATTCCTATTGCAGAGCAATGGGAATGTGAGCCAGCAGCAGGACAGAGCCTGGGGCTCAGCAGGGAGGGGCAGCCCTGTGCCCGGTCCAGGCGGGCAGGGTGGGCACGGCCACCCCAGCAAGGCCTCCAGGAGATGCTCAGCAGCTCTTGCCCCTTGTCCTGCAAACCTGCGCCTCTCTGAGCCTTTGCTGGTGGCCAGAGCTGACATGAAAGCCCTTCACCTAACCCCAGCTCGGGTCATGTCCCTCCAGCCCTGAGGCCTCTGTTCTCAGCCCAGGGACACTGGGCTCTTCTCGCCTGGGATCTCCCCGGAAATTGCTACACTGCCCTGTGATGGTGGCATGAAGCATATTCATGAATTATGGAATTCGCTGGGAGAAAGGGACCTAAAAACCCACCCAGTGCCACCCCTGCCATGGCAGGGACACCTCCCACTGTCCCAGGCTGCTCCAGCCCCATCCAGCCTGGCCTTGGGCACTGCCAGGGACCCAGGGACAGCCCCAGCTGCTCTGGGCACCTGTGCCAGGGCCTGCCCACCCTGCCCTGTGGCAATGGGAACCCGTTCCCTGTGTCCTGTGGCTCAGTAGCCGTGAAGTGACACCCTGGGGCTCGCTGGGGACACGCTCCGTCCCCGCCGCCTCCCGAGCCGCAGCCCCGGGGCCACCCCCGGCCCCGGTGTCCCCTCGGTGGCCAGGAGAGGCCCCGCCCCCTCTGGCACAGGCCCCGCCCCCTCTGGCACAGGCTCCGCCCCCTCTGACACAGGTCCCGCCCCCTCGGGCACAGGCCCCGCCCCCTCTGGCACAGGCCCCGCCCCCGGGAACAGGCCCCGCCCACCTCCCGTCCCTCCCCGCCCGTCCCGCCGCGCTCGGACCGGGGCAGCGGCACCGGGACCGGGACCGGGACCGGGCCGGGCCATGGCCCCGCACCCGCCCAGCGCCGGGCAGTACCTGCGCTCCGACAGCGGCGGCTCCCACACGCCGATGCTGCCCGAGGCTCCCGGGCCCGCTGCCGGTGCCGGTCCGGACGGCGGTCCCGGGGCGGCGCGGGGGCAGCGGCGGCGGCGGTGCGGGCCGCTGTGGGGCAGCGTGGCCGTCATGGCTATCCTGGCCCTGCAGATCGCCTCCACCACCGGCCTCTTCGTCTACTTCACCATGGCCATCTCCAAGGTGAGCTTTGTCCCGGGCCCGGCGGCGAGGCTGCGGCCCCGGGAGTCCCGGCGGCTGCGGGAGGGCCCTGCAGGTCCCGGGCTCTGCCCGCTCCAGCCCCGAGCCCCGGGCACGGCAGCGGCCGGCTCGCGGGGAGGGCTGCGGGGTGGGCACTGCCCCAGCTGCCCTGGGACAGGCGGCTCCAGATGTGGATTGGGGGGTGGGCACTGTCCGCAGGGAGCCGCAGATCCAGATGTGGGGTGGGGGTGGACATTGCCCGAGCTCCGCCCGGAGCTGCAGATCCAGCTGTGCAGGCGTGGGCGGAGGGGTGGACACTGTCGCCGATCCAGATGTGGCGCCTTTGTCCCGGGCCCCGCCTGGAGCTGAGGTTTGCACCGGGAGAGGGGGGCCCTCCCTGGGATCCCATCGGAGTCTCCAGCCCCAGGTGGGAGTGCTGGGGAACTTCCCTGGGCTTCATCTCTCCCTCCTCCTATTCCCATCTCCCCCACACTCCAGGACCCCCAAATCCTTTGTGAGATGTGGGACCCCCCATTCCAGCAGCTCTTCGCTCGTTCCAGCGCAGCCCCTCCAGCTGTGCTGGGATCCTGCCATCCCCACCTCCCACGGGGTCACTCGGGAAAAACCACTCCCAAACTTGGCCGTGACGGCTCTGATCCTTTCAGCAGCCTCGCCAGCCGCTCCCCTCGGCTGCTGACCCACAACAACCCCCCAGCAGCGGAGGGAAACGCCAGCCAGGAGATCCTTGGGCAGGGAGAAGTTCGGGGCTGGCAGCAGCTCCATGGAAGCCGCCCTCATCCCTGAGGGTGCGGCAAAAAAAAAAAAAAAGAAAGAAAAAGGGTCCAGCAGTGCCAGACATTCCACAAATCACAACAGAGACGGGGAAGAAGGAAAAGCCCTGCCCACGGATGCAGGGGAATAAACAGCCTGTCTGGATCCAGCGGAGCATCCTTTGGAGCGGGCTCCAGCCCTCCTTCGGCCTTTGTCTCCATCCCTGGCTCACATGAGGTCCCGCTGAGAGGGATTTACATGAAAGGCGGGGAGAGGAGGGGAATTGAGAGACGCAGCCCGAGGGAAGAGGAGGAGGGAGGGGAAACCGCTGTCGTGGAACAACTTGGGCTAATTTCAGCGGCCGGTCACTGGATCCGTGCTGGGAGCAGGGAGCCGGTCTCCTGGAGCCCCTTTGTGTCCTGGAAGGAGCTGTGAGCTCTCCCTGGAGCCTTGTCCAGGTGAACACCGCCAGCCTGGCTGCAGAGCGGAGCGGCTCCGCTCTCGGAACATCTCCGGGGTTCCTCTGGAGCTTCCCGTGCCGGGCACAGCCCGCAGCCAGCCCGGAGCATTCCCGCGGCATCCCAAGGGAACAGTCCTGTCCCGGGGGGATTCTCTGCCTTGGCAGCAGCCGGCACTCCCACCCGGGCGGGCAGGTGTGTGCAGGAACAGCCCGGGGGGAATGGCCAGGGCCAGCGCCGGCCGGGGCTCCGGAGGGCACAGATGAACCCACATCCTTCCAATCTGACCTCCCGGCGCTGTCCTCTGGATACAGGGGCTGAACTGATCCCAATATCCCGAGGATACAGGGGCTGAACTGATCCCAGTATCCCGTGGATACAGGGGCTGAACTGATCCCAGTATCAGGTTGTTCTCTGGTGCTGGAGAAGCCGGGCTGGAGGCAGCTGCCCCCTGCTCCCACCCCAGCAGGATCCCGGCTGCTCCCTCGGGCTGTCCCAGTTTGCCATCCCGCTCTGTTTCCATCCCAGCTGAAATCCCAGGCTCCGGGCAGCGCGGAGGAGCTGCGGTGTCTGCAGGTGCTCAATCAGCAGCCCGAGGGCTCCAGCCTGGAGGAGCTGAGCAGCAGCCAGGGCTGCCTCAAGCTGGCCAGCACCATCAAAGCCTACGTGGCCACGGTGAGCCCGGGACCAGGGGAGGATGGGAGAGCTCCTGCTTGTCCCCATGCCTCAGTTTCCCCATCCGCCTCACCGGAGCAGTGGGAGGGGGAATAGCCAGGATGGTTCAGGGTGGGAGTGGGACTCAAGCCCTCCACGGTGAGGAGGTGGTGGGGCCCAGAGACAGCGTGACAGGGAGGGGGTGGAGGTTTGGAGCAGGAGCTCAGGCATGGGGAACACCCTGGTCACCTTTAACCGGGAACTTTCTCTTCTCTGTGGCACAGGTGACCGAGAACATCATCCGCAGGAGCGCCGTGAAGGGTGAGTCACTCCTGGGCCAGCTCTGGGGCTGCAGCCAGAGCCTGATCCTGGGAGCTGTGATCTCGTGTGGTCCTGGGAGCTGTGATCTGTGGGAGCTGTGTTCTGTGGGGGCTATGATCTGTGGGAGCTGTGTTCTGTGGGGGCTATGATCTGTGGGAGCTGTGTTCTGTGGGGGCTATGATCTGTGGGAGCTGTGTTCTGTGGGGGCTATGATCTGTGGGAGCTGTGTTCTGTGGGGGCTATGATCTGTGGGAGCTGTGTTCTGTGGGGGCTATGATCTGTGGGAGCTGTGTTCTGTGGGGGCTATGATCTGTGGGAGCTGTGTTCTGTGGGGGCTATGATCTGTGGGAGCTGTGTTCTGTGGGGGCTATGATCTGTGGGAGCTGTGTTCTGTGGGGGCTATGATCTGTGGGAGCTGTGTTCTGTGGGGGCTATGATCTGTGGGAGCTGTGTTCTGTGGGGGCTATGATCTGTGGGAGCTGTGTTCTGTGGGGGCTATGATCTGTGGGAGCTGTGTTCTGTGGGGGCTATGATCTGTGGGAGCTGTGTTCTGTGGGGGCTATGATCTGTGGGAGCTGTGTTCTGTGGGGGCTATGATCTGTGGGAGCTGTGTTCTGTGGGGGCTATGATCTGTGGGAGCTGTGTTCTGTGGGGGCTATGATCTGTGGGAGCTGTGTTCTGTGGGGGCTATGATCTGTGGGAGCTGTGTTCTGTGGGGGCTATGATCTGTGGGAGCTGTGTTCTGTGGGGGCTATGATCTGTGGGAGCTGTGTTCTGTGGGGGCTATGATCTGTGGGAGCTGTGTTCTGTGGGGGCTATGATCTGTGGGAGCTGTGTTCTGTGGGGGCTATGATCTGTGGGAGCTGTGTTCTGTGGGGGCTATGATCTGTGGGAGCTGTGTTCTGTGGGGGCTATGATCTGTGGGAGCTGTGTTCTGTGGGGGCTATGATCTGTGGGAGCTGTGTTCTGTGGGGGCTATGATCTGTGGGAGCTGTGTTCTGTGGGGGCTATGATCTGTGGGAGCTGTGTTCTGTGGGGGCTATGATCTGTGGGAGCTGTGTTCTGTGGGGGCTATGATCTGTGGGAGCTGTGTTCTGTGGGGGCTATGATCTGTGGGAGCTGTGTTCTGTGGGGGCTATGATCTGTGGGAGCTGTGTTCTGTGGGGGCTATGATCTGTGGGAGCTGTGTTCTGTGGGGGCTATGATCTGTGGGAGCTGTGTTCTGTGGGGGCTATGATCTGTGGGAGCTGTGTTCTGTGGGGGCTATGATCTGTGGGAGCTGTGTTCTGTGGGGGCTATGATCTGTGGGAGCTGTGTTCTGTGGGGGCTATGATCTGTGGGAGCTGTGTTCTGTGGGGGCTATGATCTGTGGGAGCTGTGATTCCAGGAGCTGTGATCCTGGGAGCTATGATCCCGGGAGCTGGGATCCCGGGAGCTGTGATCCCCGGAGCTGTGATCCCGGGAGGCCAGCAGTCCTGGGGGGATGTCACTCCTGGGGCACACTCCAGTGCCGTGAGCTGGGGCAGGAGAGGGGGGAGCCAGGATTGTCACTTGCAATGTCACACACGTCCTGGGGCTGGGCTGGGGACAGGCAGGGGACCCAGGGCGGTGGCACACGCAGATGTGTTGGTTGATGATTGACGAGACATTTCCATCCCTCAATAACCTCTTGCTCTGGTGGGTCAGTGGGGCAGTCCCTGCCCTGCTGGCGTGGGGCCGGCTGTCCCCACGCTGTCCTTACAGCATCTGTCCCTCTCCTGCAGAGGCCTGGCGGAGCTACTTCAACACCTCAGAGGGGCAGCTTCCTCCCAGAACAGCTGGGAAACCCTCGGCACATCTCACCCTCCGCCCACAGAGCCTGGCTCAGGATGGTGAGTGGGGCAGCAGCTCTCAGGACCGAGATCGAAGGGCAGGGATCAGGACGGAGGAGGCGCCGGGGCGGATGGGGAGAGCAGAGCTCCAGCCCTCGGAGCCGGGTGACCGGGAAGGAGCCAGAGCCGCCCCCTCCCCTCCCCTCCCCTCCCCTCGGTGTGCCCCTGGCTCCCCTCAGAGCCTCTCCCTTCCCGCAGGACGCTCCCAGAGCTTCGGGAACCTGTCGCAGTCGTGCCGCCACGCCATCGCGCACTGGGGGCACAGCAGCCTGCACTCCCACGTGCACAACATGAGCTACCGCGCCGGGCGGCTGCGCGTGGAGCAGCCTGGAAAGTACTACGTGTACTCCCAGATCTATTTCCGCTACCGCGGCGCCGGCCGCGACTCGGGCCCGCAGCTGGTGCAGTGCATCCAGTGGCAGCCGGCCCACAGCCCGCCCGTGCTGCTGCTCAAGGGAGTGGGCACCAAGTGCTGGGCGCCCGACGCCGACTACGGGCTCCACGCGCTCTACCAGGGCGGACTCTTCGAGCTCAAGGCCGGGGACGAGCTCTTCGTCTCCGTCTCCTCCTTGGCCATCGACTCCAACGATGCCGCAGCCAGCTACTTCGGGGCCTTCCGCCTCGACCTGTGACTCCCCCTGCGCTCCCCCGGGGCTGGCACAGCCTCTCGTGCCCGCGGTGTCCCTTGTGCTGAGGGACGAGCCAAGAAGGGCCCGGGGACGGCTGCGGCTCGGTGCCGCCCTGCAGGGAAGGAGGAAGGGTCTCTGAGGACCCACAGGGGACATCCCAGCCTCGGTGACACCTCCCAACGGCTCCCTGCAGCGGGAAAGGCACCAGGGCCACGTCTGCCACTGCAAGACAAAGTGTCCCCGTGGTGACACCGTGAGCCCGACCCCACCTCGGGCAGGGCTGCGGGCGCCGGGACCTGGGGCTGGAAGCACCCCCGGGGTGGCACCTCTGGGTTGGGAGGGTGGGGCAGGTCCAGTGTCGGCCTCTGGAAGGGAAGGAAGGAGTTTCAGTCCGGGAGATGTTTGGGAGATGGTTCCAGGGAGGGCAAAGGGCAGGGAACCGCAGCAGTGGCCAGGCCTGGCACCGCACCCGGCACGTGGCACCGGGGCACGTGGTGAGCGAGCCAGGCTGCAGAGCCCAGGAGCTCAGCACGGCTGCTGAACAAGAACCTCTTCCCACGGGGATTCTGTCCCCCCCAGCCCTCGTGGACAGCGCAGTCCCCACCTCCTCACACCTCCAGGCCTGGCAGTCCCTGCAGGATTCCAGCTCTGGCTGAGCCCGGTGGGCGCAGCAGGACCTCGGAGGGACCAAACCAGCCCTGGGGTGATGGAGACCACGCCAGAGGCCAAAGGTGGGTTCAGGCAGGGCCCAGCTGGCTCAGCCCATGACGCAGCCCCCTTGTCTAACTCCCCCCGTACTCTGTATCCTGCTGAGTCCGGGGGGATTTGCGGGCAGTGGGCTCCCAGGGAGGATGGAATAAAGCCTTGTACTCCAGCACGGGTCTGGCCCCTTTGCACCCAGGACAAGGCTGGGCAGGGTGGATCTGGGGGCAGCAGGGCACTGCTGGGGCACTGCCAGGGCTCCAGACAGAGCCCAGCAGAGGCTCCTGCTCTTGCTGCACCGCGGCACCTCCAGGGGCTCTGCGGCCGCCGGCCCCACGACACCGGGGCAGTGCCGAGGGGATGTGTTCCTGCTCCTCAGCCCAGTGCCTTCATCCTCGCTGGGCCAGCTCCTGCACAGACCCCACGGAATCTGAGCCCATCCCAGCTCCTCCTGCCCTCCTCAGCTCGGGGTCCCACTGCTCCTGCCCTCTGAGCGTGGGATTGTCCTAGCCCAGGACACAGCCGGGGCCACCCAGGGGCTGTTCCTGGGCAGGGGCTGCCCCTCGCTCCTGCCATCCCTCCTGCAGCTTTCCAGGCCTGACTCCCGGCTCTCCACATCCCTGGGCAGGGCTGGGGGCAGAGCCAGGCAGTTCCCACATCCCCCATAGCCCCAGCTGCTGGGCATTCCCACTCTGCAGCCCCCAGCTCCTGCAGGCTCCCGCTCCAGGGGACACGGTGCCACCTGCACACAAACACCTGGACCGGCCCCAAATGCAAGGAATGATTCCCCAGCTCATCCAGAACCTCCAAAAGCTCATCCAGAACCTCCAAAAGCTCACCCAAAGCCAGAGAGCACCGAGAGCATCCTCCTGGGGGGTGACAGGGCTGATCCTCCCTTGGCAGGGCTGGTGGGCTCCGTTTTCCCAGTCCCCAGGGAGGGATGGAGGGAGCTGGGCCAAGCCTTGGCTCTGCAGCACCCTGGGCAAAAATCAAAGCACTCCAAACCCCTCCATTCTAAAACCACCCCTTTTCCTCCACCTCTCATCCCTGCTCCTGCTGTCCCGGGCACCTCAGTGAGCCACAACAGCGCTCTCGACATCCTCGGCTCCCAAACAGCCCCGGGAGCACCGAGCTCGTCTGGCCATGGGAGCCCTGGGCTGAGCAGCGGAGCTGGGGCTGCAGGAAACGCAGCAGGTGCTTCCAAGGTTTCCTTTGGAAGGGACACGGCCCGAGGGAGCCGGCAGAGGTTGTGTTTGCCACGGAGGAAGCAGGGAAAGCAGGCAAGGGCTCACCCCGCTTTCCTGGAAAGGAGAGAGCTCCTGGGGGTGGAGGGGAGAAGAAAACTCCAGCAGCATCGGGGCAAAGAGCAGCCTCACCCCGTGTGGGGAGAGCACAGCTGGAATTCCTCACTGAGGAGCCGGCACAGGTTACCCCCAGCAGCCGCGGCCCCTCTGCCTCCTCCATCCTCCTCCCTGTCCTGGGGCCTCCAGCAGCAGCCCTGGACACCCCAGGGCTCCCACCTGGACACGGGGACTGGCCACCAGCAGCAGAAGCCAGCAGAGAAACCGGCCTCCACAAGAACAGCCTGAGGAACCTGGGCCAGCGCTGCCCATCCCAGGGCGCTCCAGGAAAGAAAGAACCAGGAGTGGAAAGAGCTGGATGAGGACACACCACTTGCTCTGACTGAGGAAACAAAATGTGCTGTGCAAACGGAGCAAAGCACTGAAGATTTCTCATACAGCTCTTCTGTTAGTGCTAAAATTGTTTATTAGAAGTTACAAGTCACAGTTTAAACGTGAGCGTTGCTGACGAGGTCACTGCAGCTCCTACTGGAAAGCGAAGTCAGTGGTCCCTAAACCAACTCTGCATCCCCTCACAGCCTCCCCTGCCAGCACCTCCCTCGGGCTGGGGACAGCCACAAGAACAAAGAATTCCTGATTATCCCTCCTGAGCGTGTCCCCAAAGCCGAGAGCTGCAGCACATCCCCACAGGGTCCCTCCAGTGACAGCTCCCGGCCCTTCCTCAGCACCTGGAGCTGCAGGGGGACAGGCTCAAGGGATAAAGGGGAGAAGTTCCCTGGCAGGGTGGGCAGGCTTGGCACAGGGTGGATCCCTGGCAGTGCCCAAGGCCAGGCTGGACACTGGGGGTGGAATGGGATGAGTTTTATGGTCCTTCCAAGCCAGCCCGTTCCAGCATTCTGTGATTCCCTCCTGCTCTGAGGCAGCCTGGGAGGTGGGGCTGGCTGCAGCACTCATAAAACCTCCACACTGACCTGATTTCCCGTGGCCTCGCCCTGGGGATTCAATCCAGACACAAAGTGCTTCCTGCAGCCGCTGCCAAAGACCCTCTTGTCTCCTCTGCCAAGGAGCTGCTTTTACCTCAGCCCAGGGCGTTCACAGCCCCCAGCCTCCCTCTCTGAATAAATCCTGGGGCCAAAGGCTCCTTTTTCCCTCTTTGTTGTTATGAACCAGCTCATTGCTACCTCCAAGCCTCCATCCCTGCCCAGACACGATCTCCTTTTACTTTCAAGTCCCCAGCCTGGCCCGAGTTGACAGGAGGGAGAGGAAATCCAGGCTGAAATCCACGTCACCAGGGCAGGAAAGCATTCCTTGGGACGCTGTAAATAAAGCACAGACACAGAGAGAGAGCAGCGGCTGTGGTGTGAGCCCAGCATCGCCCCTCGCTCTGCCCCAGGGCACCTCACCCCAGCCCCAGGCAGGAATTCAGCCCGAAAAAAGAGAGAAACAAAACAGAAATCTCTTTCCTACAGCAGGAAGGGCTCGTGGAGCTGCGGGATGCTCCTTAAACCCTCAGGAGAACGGGAATGGTGGGGTGAGGAGCAGGGGACACAGACCCTGCCAGCCCATCCCTTGTGGGGTCACAGATGGTTGGCTCAGGACTTCTAAAATCCATTTAGTGCAATCCCATCCCAGCTGTGCTGCTCGCAGCCCCTGCCCACGGCCCCAGGGGAAAACCAGGGATTTTTCTCCTTTCCAGGAGCAGTTGTGTCCCCCTGTGCAGCCCGTGGCTCCCGGCAGCAGAGCACGAGGGCAGAGCTGAGCCAGCTCCAGCCGAGCTCCTGCACAACTCACACTTCCTCCTTTCATTCCCCCGCCAGCCAAGCTGGAGACACCACGAAAAAATAATTCCACTTTTAAAGAAAATTCCTCATTCTGTGTCCTGTCCAAAGCCCGGCAGTGTTCCACAGAACCACGGAACCAGATGGGTTTGGGTCGGCTCCCCCAGCCCGTCCTGCCCTTCCAGCACCCCAGAGCCGAGCGCATCCAGCCCTGGCCCCAGAGAGACCCCCAAAATCAGGGTCAGCAATGGGATATTGGATATCCAGGGGATGCCTGGAGCCATCCTGCATCCCGCCCGTCTCCCGCAGGGAACCACGGGCTCCTCCCGGAGCGAAGCGATGGAAGAGCACGAAGAGCACAGGGCAGAGCTGCGAGTTGGGCACCGTGAGGACCCAAACCCTGTCAGCCTCCCTAAATCCCGGCCCCACGGGGCTTTTCCTGCCTTTCCCACTCCCACCCTGCCGGACACGGCTTTCTCCAGACGGCATCCCAGGCCGCCTGTCCCGCTGGAAACACAACCCACGGGACAGCGAGGAGCTGCTGGGCAGCTGTTTCCTGCCCCGGGCTCCCATTCCCACTCAGCACAGCATCCCTGGGACAGCTGGGATGCTCCATCTGGGATAACCCTGCACGAGACTTTCCCTCTGAGCACCTTACCTCACACTGGGCAGCCTTCCCACAAGGAATCTGCTCATGGATCACGGATCTAATGGAAGCAGGACCGTTTCCCAAGCTGGGACCCTCCTGAGGACGGTGAGGAGAAAAGGGGAAAGCTTTGTGTTTCTGCTATCCCAGGTGTGCCACAGGAAGGGAAGCCAGCATGGACAGCCCCAGAAAGGAGCTCCCAGGGGATTGGGAAAAGGCAGCTTCTTCCCTGAACTCAGCCCCAGACCCCAGAACATCCACCTGGCCTCCAAACAGAACAAAAAAAAAATCATTTGAAAGCAAAGCTGCTGTTGGGCTGAGGCAGCACATGAGGAATCCCAGCCATCTCCTGCTGCACAAAACCACCACAGACCAGTGCAGGCATTTGTTCCCCAAGCAGAACTGGATCTGCCAGTGACATCTGCAGCTCTGAGCTGTCCGAGGACTGAGACGCCAGGGAAGCAGCAGAGCAGGGCCTGGATGGCTCTGGAAGATCAGGAATCTGCCTTTTGCTCCTTGGAAAGACAAGGAATTCGTACCGGAGGGGTTTTGAGAGGGATGGAGCCAGATTTCACTCCCATGAAACAACTGAGGCTGGTGAAGAGCATCAGCCTCCCTGGGCATCCAGAACCTCCCAAATTCCAGTGAGCAGGCAGAGTTTTATCTACAGGAAAATCACCTGGGCAGTGCTGGCACAGGGACTGAGGAGCACCAGGGCTGGGCGGGGAGGGTTCCTGGCACGGCTGCTGGGAATCCAGCTGGGATCCAGGGGCAGCAGGGAGCAGTGCCCGTGTCCCCAGCTCTCCAGGGGGACAGGAGGAGGTGTCCAACACCATCGGGGCTTGGGGAAGGGCAGGAATTCAGGACTCAGCCTCTGGGATCTTGGGGATGAGCTCAGGGGAAAGCAAGGGATCCTTGGGCATGGATCAGAGAAAGGGAGCAGGACGGGAAGACACCCGTGAACTCTTCCTACCTCTTCCTTGGGCTTCTCCTGACAAGGCAGCGGCAGAGTAATTAACACATTCACTAATTAATCAAAACCAGCATCTTCCCAATGAGAAATTCGGCCCAATTTAAAGGAGATGTGATGTGGGGGGTTTTGTTTATTTGGGTTATTTTTCCTTCCTTCAGTCAAGCAGCCTCAGCCAGTCAAACTTTATTTTTCTTTCCCCTATTTTGGCTTCCCAAGGTTGTGATTTTTCCCACGTGGACCCTGAGCCCAGCCCTGACCCTCTGCCAGCACCTCAGTACTGCAAAACCATCCTGCTCCTTCCACACCTCTGCAAGTGCACGAACACCTTGGCTTTTCCTCCCCACCTTCGCAACAGCAGCTCCAACAAAAGAAGAGGAGGAAATACAATTCTCTAACATTTTGTTTTTACTCCTTCATGGAATCTTTCCAACGTAACTTCACAAAAGCAACGTAAATAAAGTCTCTTTTTTTTTCTTCTAAAAAGAAGATTATGTTCCACAGATCCCGTAGTGCAATTTGTTATCTGGTAGAAAAACAGAAAATATCTTCTTCAGCTCCACGGAGGAAAAGGCTGGAAACAGTTCCATGGTCTCAATAAAAATAGGAAAGTCTACCCAGGGTGGGTTAGAAAGTTCCAGGTGTGTGGGACACACAGTCCCTACAGTCTGCCTCTAGTTGAAGAGGATGGACTCGGGGTCCTGGTTGGCCATCTGTGCAATGTGCTTTAGCACATCCTTTTTGGTAATGATCCCCAGCAGCTTCCTGGAAAATGAAAAAACGTTTTTAATGCACCAACACCATCAGAAGGAAGCCAGGCAGGGCCACTCGAGCCCCTTGGCGGTGCTGAAGAGTCTTTTGGGATTCCAAGTGCCACCCCACAGAAAGAACTGCCCCCTCTGAGGGTGGCAGAGCACTGACACAGCCGGAACACCCCGTCCCCGGAGTGTCCCAGGCCAGGCTGGCCAGGGCTCGGGCTGGGCTGTGTCCCCGGTGCCTTTGGCAGGCAGGAGCTGCTGCAGTGCCCAGCCCCAGGGGATGGCAGGGCTGTCCCCTGTGCCCTGGGAGCAGGGCAGGCGCTGGCCCCACGGCTCTCACCCGTTGTGAGTGACCAGGCACTGGCGCAACCCCAGCTTGCGGAAAATGTCCACCACGATCTCCATGGGCGTCTCGTCCGTCACCGTGAAGGGACTGAGGTCCAGGATGCTCCTGAGCTTCAGCACAGACGGGGAGCTCGGGGGCAGGGGGGGACAGTAGTCAGTGAAACAAATAATTGAGGTGCTCACGATCCCGTCCTGCTTCTTCCGGGCGTTGTCTGCAAAGGGAAATGTTTCATTCAGTACCAGCACTCCACTTTCCGAACAAGAGCGTTCCCCTTCCTCAGCTCACATTTAATGGCCTTGGAGGTCCTTTCCTTCCCTTTGCCAGAGCTGCTCCCACCCCAGGAGGCTGTGATGGGTTCCCAGCCTCTCTTCTAAGGGAACCATGGAGTCATTAAGGTTGGGCAAGACCTTTAAGACCATCAAGTGCAACTGCTGACCAGCACCACCACCGTGGTCACCACCAGCCCATGTCCTCAAGTGCCACATCCACACATTTTTTGAAGACTTCTAGGGATGGTGACTCCAGGGCAGCCTGTGCCAGGGCTGGAAAACCCTTTCCATGAAAAAAAATTCCCCAATATCCAACCTAAACCTCACCTGGGCACAATTACAGGTCTTGTCCTGCCACTCCTCACCTGGGAGAACCTCCAAGGTCTCCAAAGTTCCACTGCAGGGGCAGGATCAGCACTTCAGCTTTGCCCAAAGCCAAGGCTCTGGCCAGGTAAATACAAGTTCCGGAGAACTTTCAAGTTCCCAGTTTTTAGAGGAGGTGAATAAAGTGCTTTGTGCTTTTATGAGTCACTGATCTGGGTCCCACGCAGAGCAGTTAAAGGACTACTTTTAAGCACTCAGCGACTGGCACAGGCTCCGTGGACGTCAGCAGGGTCAGGAATGGAAAACAAGGACTGGCCTCAGACCTTCCCAGCAGTGCACACAGGTCCTGTGGGTACCTGCCACACTGCAATCTGCTATCAGCATTCCAAGGCTTCCTGGGAAGGGGCAGCCCAAACACCAGGCTGGATATTCAGAACGCTTTAGGATATTTGGGATATTTGACCATGAAAACCCAAATCCCATCCTGTGTGTCACAGCTTGGGGACAGGGCCACTCCCAATGAATCCCTGCAGATTCCAAGGAAGCCAAGAGCAGAAATTCGTGGTGGTACCACAGAAGGTGGGCGATGCACAAAATATCCTGATGCACTTGTTCCTGTCCTTTATTCCATGTTGTCCCAGGCCACCAGCCACAGGACAAGAGGACACAGCCTCAGGCTGTGCCAGGGGAGGTTCAGGTTGGACAGCAGCAGGAATTTCCTCACAGGAAAGCTCGCTAACATTGGCAGGGGCTGCCCAGGGAGGTTTGGAGTTCCTATCCCCGGAGGTGTCCAAGGAAGGCCTGGACGTGGCACTCAGAGCTCTGGGCTGGGGATCAGACTCGAGTTGGACTCGATGACCCTGGAGGGCTTTTCCAACCTAAATGATCCCGTGACCCTGTGAGGAGCCACATCCAGGGCGAGCAGAGCCCACCCACGGCGCTCAGGGCTGCACCAGGAGCGTGTGACCCCCCCAGGTCAGTGACAGCTGGCACCAAGGACAGCGCCTTCAGCCGGGCAGTGCCACCCCTTACCGATGGAAATGATGAGGTCTCTCCTGAGGACGAAGCCCACGAGGCGCTGCGACACGCGGGACACCACCACGGGGTACCCGCTGTAGGTGGTGCTGGTGACGATGTTCTCCACGTCCTCCACGGTCATGGTGTCCTGCGTGATGACCGTCAGGGGCGTGTCGTTCTTGCGCGGCCGCATCACGTCCATGGCGCGCGTCTTGTGCGAGAACTCCTCCTTGGCCTCCAGGAAGGGGTACCCGTTCAGGCGGATGTGCGCGTCGTAGATGCCCTCGCGGCCGATGGCGTCGGCCACCCACTTGCTGGTCATGGCCGCGGCCATCAGCGGCACGATGTACTCCAGCCCGCCGGTCAGCTCGAACATGATGACCACCAGCGACACCGTCATGCGGGTCACCCCCCCTGCCAACACAGCTCGGGTCACTCGGGGCACGGCGGCACCGAACACCGGCACCGAACACCGGCACCGAACACCAGCACCAAACACCGGCACCAAACACCGGCACGGAACACCGGCACGGAACACCGGCACGGAACACCGGCACCGAACACCGGCACCGAACACTGGCACCAAACACCGGCACCAAACACCGGCACCAAACACTGGCACTGAACACCGGCACAGCTGTGCCAAACACCGGCACCGAACACCGTCACTGAACACCGGCAACGGCTGTGTCAAACACCGGCACCGAACACCAGCACCGAACACCGGCACAGCCAGACCAAGCAGCGGCACTGAACATCAGCACCAAACACCGGCACAGCTGTGCCAAACACCGGCACCGAACACCGTCACTGAACACCGGCAACGGCTGTGTCAAACACCGGCACCGAACACCAGCACCGAACACCGGCACAGCCAGACCAAGCAGCGGCACTGAACGTCAGCACCAAACACCAGCACCAAACACCGGCACCGAACACCGGCACCAAACATCAGCACCAAACATCAGCACCAAACACCGGCACGGCTGTGCCAAACACTGGCACCGAACACTGGCACCAAACACCGTCACCAAACACCGTCACCAAACACTGGCACCGAACACCGGCACTGAACACCGGCACCGAACACTGGCACCGAACACCGGCACCGAACATCAGCACCAAACACCGGCACAGCGGCACCGAACACCGGCACCAGAACCTCTGTCCCCGCCACAGCACCGGGCCTGGCACGGAGCTCAAGGTGCGGTGCTGTCTCGGTGTTTTAATTCTGCCCCTGAGATTGAAGTCCCGAAGCTGCTCCCAAATCTTTCACAGGAGTTTTGCTCCAGTCCCCGTTCCCCGAGGGGCACAGACCCCGCAGCGCTGCCCAGCACCAAACAGAACCATCAATGAAGGCAAAGCCTGTTTATCTTCCATCAGTTCCATGCAAACAGCCCCAGCGGGGCCTGGGCTTGAAGGAACCTTCAAGTCAATCTCATTCCAACCCCTGTCACGGGCAAGGACGCCTTCCCCTGCACTGGGCTGCTCAAAAAAGGAGCACCCCCTCTAAAAAGGCAAAAGATGGGGTTTGGTGGCATGTTTTTAGATTATTTTTCATGATAAAATATTCCCTCAGGAGTTGAAAAGGTTCCACGGATGAGGGAATTGGGAATTGTGAAAGTGAAGTTCAGTCACATGCACCAGGCTCTCCAACTCAGCCAAGAGGAAGAAATGTTACCAAAAAACAGAGCACTTAAAAGCAGAATTGCATCACAAGATTCAAGGCCAGAACAGGAAGTAAAAAAGGAATTAAAACCCCACAGGGAAATTCAAGTCCCTGGGCAGCCTCAGGAGCTCCCCAGCGCAGCTGCCGTGCCCAGCAGCAGGCTGGAGATGGCAGAAGCACCACCAGGAGATGAGGAACACACGGAACACCCGACTGCAGCGGTTCCTGGCGTTCCTGAGGTGACACCAGCTCCGATGGCCAGCCACAACCGCAGCTCTCCAGCCACAGAATCACTACACTGAAATGAGATCATCTTTAAGGCCCCCTCCCGGCCCAGACCATTCTGTGGCTCAATGATTAAGGCTGGGAGAGACCTGTGAGATGAGGGATGGAGCCGTTCACCCACCACTGCCCAACCCAGCCCCGGCTTACCCAGACAGGCGGCGGCGCCCACCATGGCGTAGAGGCCAGGGGTGATGCAGTCGGCCCCCTGGCTGCACCAGCCGCTGAAGATGGCCCAGTCATGGTGGTAAAAGGCCAACTGCTCCACGGCCACCCCCAGCAGCCGGCCCACGATGGCCCCCACGGCCATGCTGGGGATGAAGAGCCCCGAGGGCACCTGTGGGAACAGGGGGTGGTGAGCAGCAGTGCCCTGACAGCACAGAGGAGGCTGCAACCTCAAACCACAGCAGGGCAGAGCCTCTGCTGGAGCTCAGCTGCAAGGGACGTTTGAAAAGTCATCTGGGCCAAGTCCCCTGCGCTGAGCAGGGACATGGAAACCGTCCATCAGCTCCATCCACTGCAGGAAAGCTCACACCTGGCAACTGCAGCTCCACAGGCTGCACCAAACAACTTCCAAAGCCTCTGAGCAAGGAACAGCTCCAATTATGCACTAACAAATTATGACACTGAGTGCTTTGCAATTAGCTCTTTCATCTAAATCAAGAAAGCTCGAGGCAGGACAATTTAGGAGCATTCTGTGTCTGGAAAATGGGATGTGGAGCTCTGAGGCATCGGTTTTGTGACTGCACTGGTGCCCACACTCGGGCTGGAAGGCTTTTACTGCCCTCGGGTGAAGCAGCAGGACAAACAACTGCAGTCTG